TCCCAGGAGTGCAGGGGCCTCCCCATTGGCATCCATGATCAGGGGGCTGGATTAGTCCTGTACTGTCCTCCCAAAGAGCATCTGGGGTCGATATGCTTTCCCTTTTTCAGGCCAACTGTTTCTGTGGGTTTCTCCAACCAGGTACAGACCCCTTCGTTCTTCATTCCTCCCTCTCTTCAACTGAGTTCCAGATTTCAGCTCAGTGTATTTCTGTGGATGTCTGTCTCTGCTCTCATCAGCCACTGGATGAGGGCTCTAGGATACCATAGAGAGTATTCATCAATCTCATTCTAGGGGAAGGGTTTCTAGCTCATGGCTAATTTCTAATTATTGTTTTACATACATGAATATATGAGTAAGCATATAATATACAAGTGAGTATATACAACCTGCTGGATCCATTTAGTGTTGTTCAATGTGTAGGTTTTCCTGGCTGACCACTTGATATTGGGTAACCAATTAGGTAGCTGTCATGCCTGAAAAAGACTAATCCTTCTCCCTCAGCATCATAAATTGCTTGTAGCTCTATGTCTAGTGATTTCTCCCATCCTCCTTGTGGTGTCAACTGGTGGTGTCGTTGTTCAGGTATTGTTTAAGTAGTCAGATTGTTCCCTATCATACATAGACAATATCATCTCACAGCAGATGTCCCAGCCCTCTGCTCTTATCTTTCCATCTCCTCTCTGCAGTGTTCCCTGAGCTTTAGGTGGAGGGGTTGTGTTATGTCTATGAGGGCTCAGTAACCCACGGTCAGTTGTCCTCTGCTTTTGACCAGTCATGGCTTTCTGTAATGGAAATTACTGCAAGAAGCAGCTTGTTTAATGAGAGGTGAAGTCTACAATTAAAGATTATACTGGTGTGTTAGTTTGAATGTAATTGACCGCCCCCCACCCCGCATAAGCTCATAGGGAGTGGCACTATTAGGAGGTGTGGCTTTATTGGAGTAGGTATGGTCTTGTTGAAGAAGTGTATCACTTTAAGGTCTCTTTTGCTCAAGATACCACCCAGTGTTCCAGACCACTTCCTGTTGCCTGTAAGATATAGGACTCTCAGCTCCTTCTCCAGCCCCATGTCTGCCTGCACGCTGCCACGTCCCACCATGGTAGTGGACTGAACCTCTGAACTGTAAGTAAGCCACCCCAATTAAATGTTTTCCTTTATAAGAGTTGTCATGGTCATAGTGTCTCTTCCCAATAGAAACCCTCACTAAGACAACTGGTTTAGGGAAGTAGCAGTAGTAGATCTCCTCTAGGTTCTGTGGCCTCAAGGGCCATAGGTAATTGGTTGCATTCATAGTACCAGGTGTGACTTACCTCTTATTGAGTGGGCTTTAAGTCCAATTTGACAGCTTGGTTACACCCAGGATGTAAATGCTAACCCCCAGGCTCCTTTGCACTACCTCCACCACCCCACCAGACCAACTTCCCACATCCACTGAGGTATTGATACTAATATGAGAACTTGGGGATAAACACAAAAGGCTGCAGTTGAATAGTAATGTTTGGGTGTCAAGTTGACAGACCAATTTCTCTGGCTAGTTAACTTGACACAAGCTAGTCATTTGGGAAGAGAGAACCTCAGTTGAGAAAATGCCACCATTTTCTCATTTTTCTTGAGAAATGAGGCATTTCTTGATTAATGATTAATGGTCTAGTGGGACCATCCCACTTCGGGTGGTGCCACCCTTGGGCAAAGTGGTCCTGAGTTGTATAAGATTGCAGGCTGACCAAGCCATGAGGAACAACAAACTGGTAAGCATGTCCTCCATGGCCTCTGCTTCACTGAATTCCGGCTCCTTTCCTGACTTCCCTCAATGATGGAGCTGTAAGCTGAACCCCACACACATACACACACAATCTAAGTGCCACTGCTGAGCCTTTGGAAATATCTTGCTGATCTGGTCATTTGACTCATAGGTGTCATATCTAGATAGGATTATTTATTACTCTTCTTCCTTGGCAGCTTTGCATGGCACCTTCTGGTCCCATGAAAGCT